CCTCCTCTACTTCTTGAGTTAACAGGAAGAGATCTATGTGACGATCTTTGGGTACTTCGGAAGTTACTGAACTGATTCGTAAAGGAAAGATGACATGCTGTTGATTATCATCTTCGTCAAAACCATAGACATTGATACTTACATTGTTTGTTTTTTCAAATTTTGAAATATGACTCAGGCTCATAGGAAATTCACACCCTTTCAAATCTAACTCGTGTTGTTTATCCTTGTAGTGATTCACTTGTTCTCCGCCCAGATCAGACTGAACGGGGAACAGATGAGCCAAAACGCAATAGGCAAAACAGAGGTTGTCGTCCACGTTTTTAATGTTTAACAGACAGCGCTCGTTCTCTAGCGAAGGAGGGAGGGGGAGATATGAGCTTCCGCGAAAGGGTTGAAATTTAACCACGGATAATTTCACGCTCAACACAGTTTCAAAGTTTAGGTTTGAAGTATCCCCTTCGTCATTGTCCATCAGTTTCATGGTTGTGTTTGTAGCTTCGGTGTACAACGCATCCAGATCATCAGCTTGGGTGGCTGGAGACATTTTGGTTCGAAAGTAAGGTTCAGTAAATGAATTCAGACCGTCCGAGTTTCTTTTGCTGAATCTAAATTGGGTACAAAGTCCCCACTTGATACTATGTTTTGTTTCAATTTCTGTTTTCAAGTGATGAATCATGTCAGTTTGAATTATCACAAAATAATAGTAGGGATCATTTCCCTCTTGGCCCTGAGGAATAAAATCAAATTCCCTGACATTTCCATTTATTGCTTGTCTGTAACATGACTTTTGATTATCTACATTAGTTTTCCTACGTTTAGCTGCAGCCCCGCCACCACTTTGTTGATTTGAATTTGAATCCTGTGTTTAGTGAGATCTTTCACTGATGGGAAAGTGGTCGAACATGTATGACAAGTAAAAGTAAAAGTAGAAGTAGATGGTTGTGGATCTTTGTGTTGACTTTTTATGTGTCTTTGTAAGTTATCACTACGGTTGAATGATTTGGAACATATTTGACAATCAAAATGTCTGGAAGCTGGGCCACAATTCCTCTGATGTCTAACAATGTGCTGTTTGTTTCTGAAGGATTTTTGACAAAACTCACATGTATACACAGGTGTTGTAAATGGGGTAGACATAATTTTTTTTAACATAAAGTCTAGCAAACAATGTGCTTGGAACACTTCTATTTTCTGAAATAAATAAATAGATAATAAATAAAATAGTTTGTCTTTCCGACTATTAAAGTCAACATGACAATTTAAAGGAGTTCGAAGTGTTCTTCATAATCACAACTCTGATAGATCTTTGGACAAAATTTACACTGTTTTAAAATTGATGCAAGGATGTAATACTTGTGATATACTGAAATTATAATTATAATTAGAAGATCTTTAGAACACTTCTATTTTCTGAAATAAATCAATAGATAATAAATAGAATAGTTTGTCTTTCAGACTATTAAACCCAATACTCCTAACACCCCCCCCCCCCCCCCCCCCCCCGTTGAAACAGCTGTTTCTATTCACCAGATTGTTTAAGAAGAAGATTTTTATGCATTAAAACTGAAACACGCTTGTATTTTTTTTTGATGAAATAAACGTGAGATATGATTTATTTTCATTGAAAAATGTTGACATGTGAAAGGATATCGTATAAAATTTCTTGAAACTACGTTATTTCACTCTATTGTTTCTCATGAAAATGATTCTGGGTATGGGTTAAACAAGTATTTTTCAATTGAAATAGGAAACTGAACTGGCATTTTGAACTCAAACATTTGTTAGAAAAAGAATAGAATTTTACAGTATTAAAACGTCTTAAACCAGACTGGCATACATTAAAGTCTTCAACACACGGGTTTCGCGATACCGACTCTATATTTATCCGAGCTGACCTCTTGGAGTCAAGACTGTTAACCCTTATTTTTTTATTTAGTTGTCATGGCAACTGAATGTTAAAGGGAACTTATAAGAGGTAACACTAGAAGAGTTAAGAACTTGACATGTGGTTGCTATGGAAATTCATCTCACACCCCTCTTTGCCACATGTGACAGTCATTACTATGCGAAATACATGCATCAATGGCATATGTCTAACAATGACATTCCTTTCCCCTGAATCACATTTGAACCTTGTAGTAGCCACTTCCATATAGGGACACTCATTACTACACTGTGTTCTCACTTAATGAAGGACTCATTAACACATTTCATTCGTGCATTGGAACCACAGACCTCTCATTACCCTTTCTGACCTGTGACGTCATGATTATATTTGACTATGATTGAGTTATTGCACTTACGAATCAACTTAGCCTAAGATCGCTTTGTGGAACGGGGGGGTCAGGGCGCGAGATTCAAACCGAGGTCACGTGACGCCCGTGAGCCTTCATGGCAACGTCCGCCATCTTGTTTTTAGACACGTGTTGTTCTAAATTTAACGAATGGTCAAGTAGTTAATTGCATGATTGCATACGGTCAGTTGACCCTTTATTAACCTAACTGAATATTGGGAGATCTTTCTACATAAACCTGTTCGTGGGCTTTTAAATATCACCACATATAGCCCGCCACCGAATGTGCACAGAGAAATGTCATTAACGCAAAAGGTTCAAATGTTCACCACATGTTCCTGCGCCAAAATGTACTCACAATGACATTCCATTCCACGTGAGTCAAGACCCAACCGAACCCCGGTCATAGTAACATGTCCATATAGGGACATTCATTACTATCCCGTGTTCTACGGTTAACGAATGGTCAAGTAATTAATTGCATGATTGCATCTGGTCAGTTGACCATATATTCATCTAATTAACCTGATACATCACTAATACATTTACATATTAATGAGTTATCTTGCATATTAATGAGGCAATGACGTTGACAACACACCCTCCCCACCCCCACCCCCCAAGGTCAAGGTTATGTGACGTCATCAGTCACGTGGGGTTACTAGGTGAACTTGTGACGTCATCAAATGAGGGTGAGGGTGGATACTTATCCAAAGTTATCTACTGTTGTGCGTATCTACGTCTGTGTGATGTGGTGAGGAGGCCAGTATGCCTGGTTGTATTGATGTATGTTCATGTGTACTTTGTTAAGTTCTCTGTGCGCCCGAAAATAAGTTCGTGCTAATTCATAGACCGTCACAAGTTTAATGTTTGCCTGAAAGTACCTTCAGTGCTCTTCACTGAGAACGTTTCACTGAGAATGTTTTGATCACATTCTGTCTATTTTCTTGACTCGAGAGGACTTATTAGTAAAATGGAATAGACATGACATTCGTGATTCAGTAGTCTGTCAAACAAAACCTTATCATATTTTAACTCATATGGTTTCAGAAACGATTCCAAACTTCGATTGAATTTACGTTAGTTGTGGCTCTGCATGAAAACAAATTTGCACACAATGAAAATGGATCTCAACACCAGGAATTGCTTCTGCCAACTTTTCTAGAACACCTACCATCATCACTATTTGGTAGTCATTTATATAGACATGTTCATGCTGTAGTCGGTTACAATCGACCGTTTTTGTCAGATTTTTCACGGAATATGGAAATGTTTGTGTTGCTTTTATTTTCTTCCATATGATCATTGAGGGACCTGAAAATAAAACATAGTTACATATCATGTACACTTAATAAGTAATTGTAAAAGTAGGTGGTAATGGTAATCAGATGTGTAAGGCATGTCATGCTTACTTCCGGCCTCACTTGGTGCCTGAATACAAATTTCATCTACACTTTTACATGTCATCTACACTACACTTTTACATTAAAAGATAATCATGTTACAATATAGAATATAACAGATATACAAAATATATACATATAGACAACTTTTTCCACCAAAATTGCATGAATTTGAAGCACGGAGTATCGTCATAAGCAAGAAGTGAACATAATCTTGAAAGAGACACAATCACATATATTTATACTCAACAACAACAACAGTTCCTGTGACACCAATATGTTAGTGTATTTTTCAAACAACTAAAGTTTGGTTTTCAATATTGTAGTGCATGTATGGAAGTCACAAAAACGCAACTGCCACAGAAAAGCATGCATCCCATGCAAAAGTTGACATTTATGCAAGCCCCATGCATTTCACAACTCAAGAATGGGTATAAAAACATGTGCGTAAACGGGATTCCATATGCATTGTTTAGCATATCTGTATAGCATCTGTATATATATTTTTATATATATCTGTTGAATTTGTCTGTCTGTTTAGCATCGTGCTGACAACAACCACTCAGAGAAACAACAAAATTACGCAATTATTCAACATTACGAACTGCCACGCATGTCCGAAAATGAGCGTCTGCGAGCCATTGGTATGCCTGAAGCAGGATCGCGTCATCGTGATTTTGCAAGACAAATTAACGTCCACAGAAACACCATTTGGTGTTTATGGCAACGTTGGCAACAGATGAATGCAGTCAGAGACCATCCTCGGAGTGGCAGGCCACGCGTAACCAATAATCGACAAGACAACTTGATTCGAACAACACACCTACGAAATCTATTCCAGCCTGCAACAGTGACTGCAGGAAGCATCCCTGGCCTTCGACAAATATCTTCACAAACCGTACCTCGTCGCCTCAGATGTGCAGGGATTGTCGCCAGAAGACCCGCCAGACGTCCCATTTGGACAGAAAACCACAATCAAGCACATCTACAGTGGTGCAGACAGCGTCTACGCTGGACGGCCATGCAGTGGGGACAAGTTCTATTCACTGACGAGTCTCGTTTTCACCTCAGCCACAGCGATGGACGGATTCGAGTGTACCAACGTCGAGGTGAACGTTGTTTTAATAAATTGTTGACGTACAGACGGACGGACGGACGAAGGATGCAACGGAATGGCATTATATCACGTCAAAGCCTGTAACAACATGGATGTATTCAAAACGTGTTTGCCTGTAACAACATGGATGTATTCAACATGTCAATGTCTGTAAGAATATGCTTGTCTGCACAAACTTGTCACCTAATACATTTGACCACCATGTGACACAAGAAGATGAATAATGTCTCTTAGCCCTCGAGACGTCGCTATATTGGCTGCTGTTTGACTTTTGCTGTTTCTGGCGTTGATGTCCACAATATCCAGTGAGAGGACAAACTTCACCACCTCCACATTTCCTCCCCGACAGGCGAAGTGGAGGAGGGTGTCATGTCCTTTATCCAAGAGTGTCACATCAGCCCCTTTACTTACAAGTAACTCTACCACTTCTTTATGTCCCTTATCTGCTGCCGTCATCGCTGGTGTCATCCTCTTCCATCCTCTACTGTTGATGGACAGCGTGCCCAGTGAGAGTACAAACTTCACCACCTCCACATTTCCTCCCTTACAGGCCAAGTGAAGGAGGGTGTTTTTTCCTATAGTCAAGAGTGACACATCAGCCCCTTTACTTACAAGTAACTCTACTACTTCTTTATGTCCCTTCACTGCTGCCGTCATCACTGCTGTCATCTGATTCCAACATCTATTGTTGATGGACACCATGCCCTGTGAGAGGACAAACTTCACCACCTCCACATTTCCTCCCCGACAGGCCAAGTGAAGGAGGGTGTTATTTCCTTTATCCAAGAGTGTCACATCAGCCCCTTTACTTACAAGTAACTCTACCACTTCTTTCTGTCCCTTCACTGCTGCCGTCATCGCTGGTGTCATCTTCTCCCATCCTCTACTGTTGATTGACACCCTATCCAGTGAGAGGACAAACTTCACCACCTCCACATGTCCTCCCCGACAGGCCAAGTGGAGGAGGGTGTCATGTCCTATATCCAAGAGTGACACATCAGCCCCTTTTCTTACAAGTAACTCTACCACTTCTTTATGTCCCTTATCTGCTGCCGTCATCGCTGGTGTCATCTTCTTCCATCCTCTACTGTTGATCGACAGCGTGCCCTGTGAGAGGACAAACTTCACCACCTCCACATGTCCTCCCCGACTGGCACTGTGAAGGAGGTTGTCACCCTTTTTATTAACGAGTGTCACATCAGCTCCTTCTTTCACAAGTAACTCTACAACTTCTGTATGTCCCTTCTCTGCTGCCGTTATCACTGGTGTCATCTTCTTCCATCCTCTACTGTTGATGGACACCATGCCCTGTGAGAGGACAAACTTCACCACCTCCACATGTCCTCCCCGACAGGCCAAGTGGAGGAGGGTGTCATGTCCTATATCCAAGAGTGACACATCAGCCCCTTTTCTTACAAGTAACTCTACCACTTCTTTATGTCCCTTATCTGCTGCCGTCATCGCTGGTGTCATCCTCTTCCATCCTCTACTGTTGATGGACAGCGTGCCCTGTGAGAGGACAAACTTCACCACCTCCACATGTCCTCCCCGACTGGCACTGTGAAGGAGGTTGTCACCCTTTTTATTAACGAGTGTCACATCAGCTCCTTCTTTCACAAGTAACTCTACCACTTCTTTATGTCCCTTCTCTGCTGCCGTTATCACTGGTGTCATCTTCTCCCATCCTCTACTGTTGATGGACACCATGCCCTGTGAGAGGACAAACTTCACCACCTCCACATGTCCTCCCCGACAGGCCAAGTGGAGGAGGGTGTCATGTCCTATATCCAAGAGTGACACATCAGCCCCTTTTCTTACAAGTAACTCTACCACTTCTTTATGTCCCTTATCTGCTGCCGTCATCGCTGGTGTCATCCTCTTCCATCCTCTACTGTTGATGGACAGCGTGCCCTGTGAGAGGACAAACTTCACCACCTCCACATGTCCTCCCCGACTGGCACTGTGAAGGAGGTTGTCACCCTTTTTATTAACGAGTGTCACATCAGCTCCTTCATTCACAAGTAACTCTACCACTTCTTTATGTCCCTTATCTGCTGCCGTTATCACTGGTGTCATCTTCTCCCATCCTCTACTGTTGATGGACAGCGTGCCCTGTGAGAGGACAAACTTCACCACCTCCACATTTCCTCCCCGACAGGCCAAGTGAAGGAGGTTGTTATTTCCTTTATCCAAGAGTGACACATCAGCCCCTTTACTTACAAGTAACTCTACCACTTCTTTATGTCCCTTCACTGCTGCCGTCATCGCTGGTGTCATGTTCTTCCATCCTCTACTGTTGATGGACACCATATCCAGTGAGAGGACAAACTTCACCACCTCCACATTTCCTCCCCGACTGGCACTGTGAAGGAGGTTGTCACCCTTTTTATTAACGAGTGTCACATTAGCTCCTTCATTCACAAGTAACTCTACCACTTCTTTATGTCCCCTCTCTGCTGCCGTCATCGCTGGTGTCATCTTCTTCCATCCTCTACTGTTGATGGACACCATGTCCTGTGAGAGGACATACTTTACAACCTCCACATGTCCTCCCAGACAGGCATAGTGAAGGATGTTGTTGTCGAATCTATCGACGAGTGACACGTTAGCTCCTTTTCTCACGAGTAACTCAACCAATTCTCTATGTCCCTTACCAGCTGCCAACATCACCAGTGTCCTTCCAACCCATTCTCTACAGTTAATGTCCGCCCGTCCTTGGCACAAGATGAGTTTCACTCTTGACAGGTCTCGGGTCCTAGTGGCACTATGGAGGTCGCAGAACGAAGGTGCTGTAACACAATATTTTACTCTACACATCTTGAAAGGTACACGACTGAAGTTGTAAGACATATAATCGCGACAAAGCGAAGGTCTTTGACATCATACTATAAATACGAAAACGACGTTATTTTCTGTATACGGACATTGGATTAAATACACTACTGCCTAAAAGTTCATTCCCCTAACACGCGTTGAGAACGCGTGTAACACGCATGTGACACGGGTGCTCAACGGGTGTGCAACGGGTGTGCAGCGCGTGTGCAACCCGTTGCACACGCGTGTGCCACGCGTGTAACACAGGACCGGGTTCCAGTTGAAGTTGACAAAATTATCAAATGAATAGTGAGATAAAACAAAAGAGTGAGATGTGAAATTTGAGTTAATGAGCGGCCATTGAGCTGTGTTCACCAGACCGTAAATACAAGGTCTGCCCGTCTTAATTAGTGTTCGGTTGTGACATGAACCATTCCACTAGGGTCCCGTCTAGCCATTGTTGCTAGCCGACAGTAGAACAGTAGTGAATTTAGATGCGAGTTTATTGCTAGGGGAACCCCCGTGTTGACACGATTGTCGCGGGTTGGTAAATGTTCGCCATTAATAAAATGATTGTTTGTGGATTTGCGAACATATTCATTTGCCCACACGAGTCATTCCATTTGATTACAAATATAACGTTTTTCGTTCGCCAAATTTATGCATTAGACAGTACAATTATGATATAGCCGTCACCACTACTAATGTCTCATTATTTCACGTAGGAATATGTCCCATTTCCCCACACCGCACTTTCTGTTTTGTATTTTGAAAGAATAAATAAAAGAAGGTTTTGTGTGGAACACTTTTATACTAATTATAAGAGGATGTTGTAAATGAATATAAACAGCCATGCTGTCTGACTGTTGATAGAATTTGAGATCTTCACAATCACCGGGTGTGACCATGTAGACAGAATCTCGTTAGGGTTTGTGATTTTTACATTTGCCCAATGACCATAGTGAGTATTGCTGGGGATACTTACCAAACGTAACAGTTTATTATTAGAGGTTGTGAGTACCTATACCACGTAGATAGGATATCTTTAGGATTTTAATCCTTCTTTGAGAGGCATTTAGAAGTTGGAGTACTACGTAAGGATAAGATTTATGGGTGACTTTAATCCTTTCTTTCTCTGTAGGTAATCCTTTCACGTTGATTGGAGGAAGTCACTCAACCAGGTCATGACAGGTCGTGAGTTTACTCACTAACTACTGTGAGCGTTTTTGGCATAACATCTTTTCTTGTTTATACATAGAAACGATGCTCACTCACTGTTAATCTTCTGCAGTTTGCTGGCAAAGTGGGGATAAACCTCAGTGTCAAAGACGATCAAACCTAGTTCGAATCCTTGTTTATATGTGACATCTCCCGAATGGGGACATGTTCATAAACTTGGCAAGTGATGATGAATTTTAATATTAATATTATTATAGTTTATGAAATTGTTAATAAAACTTTAATAAAATTTTGCTTCACTCTCACGAAAAATATATTGTCTGTGAGTAAATTTCTATGTCACGTTTCATCGGCATTTTTCAGTGATATTGGGACTACATGAAACATGGCTAGTTTTACATTTCTGATACAAGTGCTTTACTGACTGAGTAGTTCATGATCAATTAGATATGTTTAAATCAGTCAAGTTTGCAACAATAGATGAATAAGTTGATACATTTGGACCGCAGTTACCGATTAACAACTTAAGACATAGAGACAGGGATGAGATATATAACCAAACCTATGGTCCTGTTGAGACAGTTGACAGTTAGAACGTTGGATTAAATGACAGTAACTAATTTGAACATTCCCCAGTAATATCATAAAATACATCATAACTCATAACAGTCCGAGAAACAGCTTCCAGCCATATACTAGTATTGAAGGGACAATCGCTTTTGACAGTTTAAAAATAAACTCACCTTAAGGTGCTTGGCAAGTCAAAACTGACCTCCCTGAATATGTTTTTTAGGTTTGACAGCAACTATGCTTGTGGATTTCAGAGATAGATATGATTTGTTAGCTAGATGTTATTACAATAAGCGAAAATGTCTTAAAAGTCCACAGTTTGTTTAATAGTACAAAAAGTGTGTTATAGATCTATCAACGTTTTCTTTTATTGAACATAAAATTGGCACTATATTGCTGTTAGCTGTAAATAATCTAGCCTCCCCATGTACGTAACTTACATATATTTATGTATGACCAGAACAGCAAATAAAGTTCTGGTAGATAGGTACCTCGGAGATTTAACGTGCGCTTTCCGACTTAAGCCTATCTCGCACACGGGGAAGCACTTTTACTATTAGGGTAAAAAAACGAAATGATTAAATAAAGAAGTGCACCCTCCCCCCTAAAAAAATATAAGTTTACAGCCTATTCTAATAAAGTTAAAGGGGTTGGGGTTTGGCTGGGTGGGAGTGGGTGATAAAAGAATATTCAATAATATGGAAAAGTTTGGGCCTGGGGGTTGGGGGGCAAGCGTGGGAAGGCACGGCGTCGGCTGGCGAGCATGTGTGGCTAGAAGTCTAGCGGCGGTATCCTTCTAGTAGTCTCTTGGTCAGCTTCTCATCCTGGAGGTTGGGATTCTGGTAGAGACTCTTGGCAAGGAGGGCGGCGGTATTGGCGACGAAGTGGTTTGAGGTCGGTACGCCACTACTCTGGAAGAAGTGGTACAAGTCTGTGTAGTTTGTGATGTCGTACTCGATGTCCCCCCTTCTTGTGCACCATGACGAAAGGGACTCCTTGTTTGGCGTAGAGATGTTCCTTTGGGGTGTTGATCTGGTCAATCTTGAGATCCGGCCGGGCCTGGTAGTGGTTGATCGGAATGTCTGACTTTTCCACTAGTAATTAAAGTTCTTTGGTATGACCTCTTTTATCCCTGCTGACGTTATCCTAATGTTCAATTTCAGTCTGCCTCACCAAGCGTAAGAAAGCATTGTACATGTTCTGATAAACCATACTGATGCAATTAAGCAAATGAATATTTGCTGTGGGCAAATATCTATTTTCTATATATATATTTGTGGATATGAAGCATTCTAGTTAATTGTGGATACACTGGGCAGACAGAATTGTGTTTATTTCCAGGCCATCCTGATCGTCGTTTACTACTATAAGGTGTATGTTTTGAGGCAAGATCAAAGGCGCCGCACAGCATTTATTAGATAACAAACGGGGTCTTCCGTTTCGCTTTAAACAACCACCCCACCCTGTCTGTAGGAGTTATATAATCGGTGCGCAAATAACTGTGTCAAGTCCACTGCCGGGCTGATGCGGTGTCAGTGTCAGCGATGAACATGAATGCTCAAATTATAGACCTGTAGCACTCACAAGTTGCTCAGCCAAAATATTTGAAAAGTGTATATTCAATTCTCTGATAACAGCAAATATAACCTTAGAAATAGATTCAACATACAAACAATCAAATGTAGAACACAGACCTATGCTTAATAATAATTTCTTCTGGATATGATCAACCTGCGGAACCCTCTATCCGATGAAGTAACTAATGCTCGCTCATTAAAAGAAATCAAATCCTTAATTAATCGTTCTGATGCAATTACTAATAATTTTGATTTCAAATATGTTCATAGATCATGCCAAATTGTCCACTGTCGCCTTAGGCTCGGCTGCAGTGACTTAAACGCTGATAAGTTTAGACGACATGTATCAGACAAACCAGACTGCACTTGTGGATATCACCTTGAAGATGCAATTCACTTTTTCTATAACTGTCAAAAAATACGATAATATCAGAAACACTGTGTATTTCTACACACATGGGTATGGTCTAAAAATGATATTACGTGGCAGTAGTTAAGCAGTTCTACAAACATGACTCTTCTTAAATCAGTTCACGACATCATTGTCAAAAGCAAAAGGTTTGAGTAGCTTAATTTTATGCATGTAGTAAAGGAAAACTGCATTACCTTATTTCACAGACACCACTTGCTTCAGTGTATTGGCTTCGTGTATTTCATTTGTGCATTTTGTATGTTTATGTTCATCACTCTCTTATATATATCCAGCTGTTGATAAGTTGTTACCTGGAGTGGTATTACATAAGCAAGTTTTGCTTGTTTACCGATCCAGATTTCTTTTGAAATAAAAATACGTTTAAGCCAACACAGCTAACCCTAAAACACATGATTGTAAACTATTCAAAAAGGGGCACTAATCTCTGGCTTCTTCTCGGGTGTCGGACTCAAACTCAAACTCATTTATTCTTAGAATAACATGACATACAATTATCTACATTTTTTATTATGTACAATTTAAGAAAAATAATAAAAATAGGATACGTGGATACTAATACAATTTACCAATTGTATTGTACACATTGTTAAGGAATTTAGATAGGCCTTTTAGATTTCTTACACTGTTAGTGGTCATAATTTTCTTAAATGTTTAGAAACTTAAGATATTGCTTATTTAAGAGTTCATATCGCCGTTGGTGAAAAGCTTCACATTGGAATAAATAATGCAATAAATCTCCCACAGCGAAAGATTCACAGAGTGGACACTGGCGGTCTTCCCGGGGAATGTTCAGCCATCGACCTGTTTCAACTGGTAATCCTTGGTTAGAAAGTTCTGACTTTAATTTTGAGAGCAGTAGATATTTCGCAAATGAAGGTTGATTCTTCAGGTAATACGACCTTTGGATTTCCGCTTGGGCTTTCTAGCTGCCGTGAGTCAATTTGCTCGTTAACGCAACCGAGCGTGACAAGAGACTGGGCTACCAGTCTGCAAGGACAGCTAAATAAGCTTACGCATTTTTGAAAACTGATTGGTTACCCGTGATCTATAAAGATTTCAACAAAGGGCGCATGGTAATTATTTTTTTCAGCCTAAACAAACAGACAAATAACGGCGAAAGCTCATCGGATGTCGTTATTTGGAAATACCCCTGATGGTTACACTTAATAATAAAAAAGTATCCCTGAGTGAAAGCATTTGCGGATTTCGGATTGCGTGGATGATACAATTACTACTCCCTTGTT